TTACCTCCACCCTCCTCCGGAAGAACCCACCCTGGGCTTGGACACCCCTCCACGAGGACGCCTTCCGCGCCCTCAAGAAGGCGGTGACATGCGCACCAGTTCTTCACCTACCCGATTTTGATCGCCCTTTTATCCTTACCACCGATGCGTCAGACTTTGCTGTAGGAGCAGTGCTTTCTCAGGTCTTCCCCTCCTCTCCTGATTCCTCTCATCCTTGTATCCCTCGCTTCCCACCACCTACCCCTACCACTGCTTCCCGACTGACGCCTACTAGTCCAGCTATTGACGAGCCTCCTATTGACTATTTTCCTACCATCACCGAGGACGGCACTGTCGAGACTCGCTCAGGTGATTGTCCGATAGCCTTCTACTCCCATCAGCTCCTGCCCGCCGAGATAAACTACACTGCTGATGAACGTGAGGTTCTCGCAGTAGTTTATGCCGCTCGGCACTGGCGTCACTACCTGCACGGGGCACCATTCACGGTGCGCACGGACAACTCTGTTGTCCAGGCTTTTCTGACTAAGCCGAAGCTCACTCCTCGACAGGCTCGCTGGTGGCGCAACCTATCCGAGTTTAGTTTCACCACTGAGCACATAAAGGGTGAGACTAATCGGGTCGCAGATGCCCTATCCCGRCRCCCTGACCACGACCAGGAGCACATCCAGCTCTCTTCCATCTCGGTCACCACCGTCCACCACTCGGTGATCGACGAGTTTCGCACTCAGTACCGCCACTGCCCCGACTATCGCGACATCCACGCGACCCTTCGGAGTGGCAAGACCGTCCCGAACTACTCTCTCGGGGACAACGGTCTTGTGTACTGGCACGGTTCACAGGGCACCAGAGAGCCCCGTATTTGCGTTCCCTCCACTGGACAGCTACGTGTCCGAGCAGTAGCASAGTTCCATRACCAAGCAGCCGCCGGTCATATGGGCGTCCACAAGACGTTGGCTCGTGTGAGCCGCCTGTACGTCTGGCCGAAGCGCAAGGACTTTGTGAAGGACTACGTCGCTGAGTGTCCCACCTGTCAGGAGGTGAACAGTGCGAACCACCTGCCTTATGGTTTTCTCCAGCCTCTTCCTATCCCTGAGGGTCGTTGGTAGTCCATCTCGATGGACTTTATCGGTCCTCTTCGTCCTCTGCCCCTCGAGGTCATGATGCTATCCTGGTCGTCGTCGACCGCTTCACGAAGCGTGCACGCTTTGTTCCGTGCCGCTATGCCATCAGTGCACGTGAGGTCGTCGACATCGTGTTTGACCGAGTCGTGCGTGACCACGGCTTACCTCTGAGCATCATATCTGACCGTGACCTGCGCTTTACCGACCGATTCTAGCGACGGCTCCACGAGGTATACGGCACTCAGCTCCGCTTCTCCTCGTCTTACCATCCTCAAACTGATGGTCAGACCGAGATCACGAACATGACTCTCGGAGATATTCTTCGAAAGATTGTTCGTGACGACCAGCAGTGGGATCTTCATCTTGCCCACGCGGAGATAGCGTACAACCACGCCGTCTCGCCAGCCACGGGGATGTCGCCTTACTATTGCGACCTCGGCTATCACCCTCGTGTTCCCGCGGACTTTCTTCGACCGTCACAGATGCACCCCGACACGAGTTGTCCCACGCTGGATGATTGGGTTGCACACATGACGTCGATCATGAAGACCGCACATGAGCATATAGCCGCTTCCCAGACTCGCATGGCAGCACGTGCGAACCGATCGAGGATGGACCATCCGTTCAAAGTCGGTGATGATGTGCTTATCGACGCCCGCCACTTACAACTCGAAGTGGACACGCTTCGCAAGTTTCGGCGTCGCTTCTTTGGCCCATGCTGCATCCTCCAGGCCGTCGGTCCTGATACGACATCTAGCCCGGTCAGCTTTCGTGTGAAGTTGCCTGACTACCTACGCCAGGCTCGTGTGCACGATGTCTACCACGTCTCGTTACTGCGTCCTTACCACAGACCGTCTGAGTGTTTTGCTGGACGACCATACGAGCGCCCTCCACCCATCATGGTGGACGGTCACGAGGAGTTCCTCGTTTCAGACATCATTGGTCGCCGAGTCACCGACGACAACCCTCCCCACGTCGAGTATCTCGTACGTTGGAAGGGTTACCCTGATGAGGAGGCTACCTGGGAGCCCTTCGAGCACTTACAGCACGCTCGCATGTTGGTGCATGCTTATGACTGTGCTTGTCGTGCTGGGTTCACTGCTCCTCCTCAAACCACTGACCGTCCTCCTTCTCCCCCGGCTGAGGAGACCGCTGAAGTCGAGCCTGCTCCATCTGAGGCAGACCTTCAGCAGTAGCCGGATGCTTCTGAACGTCCACAGCGCATTCGTCGTCGTCCTGCTCGATACGACGATTGACTCTGACTTACCTTCCCACGTCCTTGACTTCTCAGTACTCCATCCACTCCAGTTTTGCTACTTCGGCTCGTCGACGTTGCGGCTCTTCCTCGACGACATTCCAGACTTCTCATCGTGGACGTCATCGGCGGCTTCATGGACTTCATCACGATCAGCTCTGCCTACTTCAGACGTCGCCACTCTCTTACCACTTTACCCTGTACAGTACCCKGCTTGTGTCGCATGATGGKCTCCYTTTAGCCGGGTTCCTCTGAGTTGGGCTCTCCCTTGGTATACGCATAGGCATCGGGACCGTAGCGTTGCCCTGGCTTCCCATCTTACGGATCTAGCTCCGACTTCCCTCCCTTTAGGAGTCGTTTGCATGATTCCCTTACCCATCATCTTTCTACCCTTCGCCGGCCCTCACGCCCTATTTAGGCAACCCTGCATGCTTCATCTAGGTGCGCCCAGTATACCAGGCTCCCTTGTTCCCTTGCATGGTCGACCCTCTATAACGGCCACCCCTTAGTCGAGCATTACCCCCCCTGATGGTCAATCTGTTAGGGTCATTGGTTCTGTTCGCTCCCAGTTCCCTACCCTCATTGAGCCTGATGACATGTGTTTTCCCCTGCCACTATGTGTGGATGCCCTTAGGAGTTTTCGACCCCTAGGCTGCATTCGCCACCCTCAGAGACCATCCCACCCTTTGGTKTGCGACACACTTCTCATGTGACATATGGTTGTCTTGTTGATTGCTTTGTTGCTCTCGGACTGAGGCTACTGCCTCCAACATTTCTAGGATTTAGCTGTTCTTCTTTTGCTGTTCTTAGGACTTATACACTAATCAGTTGTTAACCAGACTGAGGCTAGTGCCTCCAACATTCTAGGATCTAGTTGTCACTACTTTCTGCTTTCCTAGGACATGTATGCTAGTTAGTTGCTTTTGCTTTCCTAGGGCATGTATGTTCGTTAGTTGCTTCTGCTTTCACTTAGGTTGTTAGCTGTGACATTGCTGTTTTGTGACATTTTATATCCTAGGTTGCATCGCATGGACTCAACATGGAGCTTGCTCCGCATCCTAGACTACTCAGGTTTTCTTTTCTTTGGCAGAGTTCCGCTTCTTGCCGGAAGCATGTTTGTATCTAGGCGATCCATCACAGGCCGAGGATCGTGTAGCGGACCTCGGGTTGGCCTGTGAGACCAGCCCCTTGACTTGTTCTCACAAGCCTGTGTTGTATTCGGGGTAGGCCAGTCCAGGCCGATACCTCTGTCGGTACCACTCAGTCCAGTCCAGTCCCGTCAGTCCGCTGGGGTATACCCCAGCCATTGTCTGTATTCAGTCTCATTCTTCACTTGCATATTTCTGGAGTACGTGCGTTGCAGTCATGCGTGGGAGCTGCGCTGTGCGTCATCTTGCTCCCCCTTCTTCCTCCATCTCCATCTTTACCACTAGCGGAGCACCATACCTGGTGGGTCCGCTACAGAATTGCAATCTTGTATGGATACACAACCAATATGGCATTTGTTACATCATCCACAGTCGTGATCCCCGATGACCTCCTAGTGCCAAACGACTACGTGCCACTCTCAAAAGTCTCTCTTGATGCCCACCGGTACAACGCATAAGCCACCATATGGTCGGGCTCCAATGACTCCCGATAGTGAGTAAGTCTGCAATGAATGAAAGGACTGCAAGCGACGACTATGTCATTGAACACCATCTACGTCATCCGCTGTTTGTCATGGAAGTAGTCGTCGCTTCAATCGTCGGCGATGGTGAGGTCCCTCCATGTTCCACCCGTCCTTCTTTTCACCCACCACCTCAGCGTCTCCCTCGGCATCACACCCGCCACGATGGCATTGGACAACAAGAACGGTGCATCCCACATGCCTGGTGAGGAGTGCACGTCCATCAAAGCCTTTGCTATGGTGGCCTTCCGTCTGCCCCTCGGTCTTCCGCTAACCTGCCGCAGGTCGTTCACCATCTGCATGTGATAGGAAACTGTGAGCAACATCGTTCCTAACATCGATTTTTCCCTTGGAATCAGCCTCCACGCCCCAGGCGCATCAGCGAGGTCGTCTTCCATCTCCCCTAACGTACCGCAAACATGCAAGCAGCTCACTCGCCGGCAGGCAGGCTATGGCGACCTTCTTCCCAATGCGGTAGGAAACACGTATAACGAGAGAGGGTGTTGTCGACGTATGTGCGTCGGAATTCAAATTCAAAATTGCATCGTCTCGTACACCTTTCATATCGTAGGACGTTGCCTTCGTGCGCCCAGTAGGTTGCCCGACCAAATGGCGAGGACCCAGAAATCGCCTGTCTGACGGGCCCGCAACGGATGGACAAGTTTTTGTCTGTCCTACTGCCTTCACGGACGTCCGTGCACGACGGGCCGACCTTCTGACACCCGGTCCTCCTCACCAGAGATGTAAGGGCAGGTAAGTGTAGGGTCTTCCTCAGGGGTTGTGAAACGAAAAACCAAGTTAGGGTAAATTAATCACCCTCGACTGATAAGGGTGCCCTTACGATGTAAGGATTCGTAAGTGGTGTGGAATAAGGCCCTATTGACCACTCCTTAGGAATCTTAGAGTTCATCTTTTTTTTTTTTATCCTTCTCTTTTCCAAACCACTAGCACGGCGCCTAGCTATTGACGACGAACCTAAATGTGCCCAGCGCCCCAAAGAAACGAGAAATCCTGCTTATGGTCGGCACCACCATCCATTTCGGTCAGGTACCCCAACCCCTGAAAAATGCAGCGCGTTAACGTGAAAGGTTGGCGACCCAAGGTAAATCATTCTGGATTTGAATTCTCGTGTGTTTCAACAATTCGTAGGTGTACCAACTTAGCTAGGCCCATTCACGAAATGAGTTGTTAGAAAAAAAATATTCCAATTTGAAGATTTTTTTTTGCGTCCTCATCTTGGAAATTTCATTTTAAGGACAAAGTTTTGAGAAAGTTATGGTTTTACAAAGAAAAATAAAAAGGGGATGCTTCACACTTTCACCCAATAGGATGTTTTTTTTCCCCTCAAAATCCAGAGGTCCAGGTCATCTGCATTGCTCCTGGAGAAAAACACATACTGGGAGCATCATCCAACTTAGCTTACATGTTGAAAAGTCTGTCGATCTTTACTACAGACCTTGTGGCTCCTTTCTACCGTACCCTAATGTGCTTCCAACTAAAATTTCCTAGCTAAATATTGCCTACCGTGTGGACGTGGGAAACGCAGCCCTAAGGGATTGTGTATCTTTGTTTTTCTTTGTGAGAGAGAGAGCGAGGGAGAGAGATTAAAAAAAAAAAAAAAAAAAAAAAAAAAAGTGAGAGGGAAAGAGAGAGAGAGAAAGAGAGAGACAGAGAGAGAGAGGGAGGGAGAGAGAGAGGGAGAGAGGGAAGGCAGGGGGGGCTGATGTGTTCTCTTTCGGTGCAGTCCTTGTGTTGTAAACACAGATGCTCAAACCACCCTCATACCACAATTTTAGGGTTATAAATTGTGAGTTTGCCCAATGAGTGAAGGCAAAGGGGCTAAGCATACGCATAAGGGAGGGAAGGAGGGGGAAAGATAGAGAGAGAGAGNAGAGAGAGAGAGAGAGAGAGAGAGAGAGAGAGAGAGAGAGAGAGAGAGAGAGAGAGAGAGAGAGAGGCTGAGTGACAAAGATAGGAAATAGGTCAAATTGGCGCCACGTTCTATATTTGCGATTGAAAAGATTTTTTTTTAATCTCTTTAATTTATTTTTTTTGGAAAGATCAGAATAAAATATATGAGCACTCCAATTTTCAGATTTTTTCACTCATTACTATTAGTGTGAAAAATCACAGAAGTTGAAGTATTTTTTTTGTTGGCCCATACGTGGTTGAGTGGCAAAAACAGAAACTGCAGCGAATCGGCACAACAATTATTTTGCAGTCTTAATGATTTATTTATTTATTATAATATCTTTCCTTAAAATAAAATCATCTAATTTACAGCTTCTCAATTTTTACATTTTTTTTGCGAATTATTTCGGGTACAAAAAATCGTCACAATTGTCACTTGCAGATTGGGGAACTGGACCCGTGGGTACCCCTTTCGTGACCACATTGAAGGGAGGACCGGTCCTCCAATTTTGCTGCAGTGTCGTTTCTCTGCACGATAGATGGAAGTCATCCGTGAAAACATGATGGATTGACCCTCTTACAATTTATTCCCCCCACAGATCCCTTTATGTGGTGGTTGCCCGCCGCTGGAAATGAGACACCTTGGCACGAACGTGGAAGCTTAGTAATATACCGTAGCTTTAGGGTTGCAAGCACAACTTATAATTTACAGTCGTTGATCCTATTATAGTATAGGCACCACTTACATGTACAAACTTTACCCTTAGTCTATAGAGAAACAACTTCCAAGAGCTATAACTACTTACTCCCTATCACCAACTGAAACCAGGTTCTGCCTTCAGAGTTGTGAAACCGATTACGGTTCCGGCTAACTGTAATGCTCCTTCCCTCCACTCTTACCTGCCAACTGTTACCTTCCTCCGGTCGAAAAAGAACCGAGCATCCAAGTCTTTGCTATGCGGTACTCAATCACCAGGACATTACCAACTTTGTCCTCTTGATCTCACCAAATGCTTAGTTATGGTCCACGTCTTGTAAAACCACTAAAGGCCTACAATTTTTTTTATTTTTTTTTAGGCCTCTATGTGCCAATCATATTTAATTGTCATGACGATGTTATACTTGACTTTTGATTGAAGGACCTTATCTGAAAGAAACTTGTTATTAAATACCACACTGTTTCTTTCCTCCCACATTACACACATCAATATCCTTAAAGGGTATCGACACCTTCTTCTCGACTTTGAGCTACTTAAGTTTTTCCCCTTTGTTGTTAAGAGAGTCGAGATCGGAAGAAACGTGAGGCGGTTGTTTGTTAAGCCTTGGAAGTTCGCTAGTGCAATGATGGCATTAATCAAAGCAATTTGATACTTCATTTTCCTTTCACATAAAATCTT